CTATAAAATCATAGAAACCTTTATTAAAGAAAAGAAAACAGCAAAATGTGAAGCGTTTTTTTCTGTACATGCCCTCCATCTAGGCATATATATGTTTGAAACCATTGTTTCCACTTCCCACCCTTCCCCAAATAATTCCAAATGCCAAGGAAATCTCCTTGCGTTTAGTAAGTAATCTGTAGGGTACTGTCTGACACTGTATAAAATCCTTGTACCCAGCCTCCTTTCACATAATAATTTAGTATCCACTAACGATTATTATGTGGACATTTGTGGCAATGTCGCCAACAAAGTGGTGATTTACCTATTGTTCTCTATTTATTAGCTTTTAGTCTTTCGTAAGAGTTTTCTTTTGTATTTCCTCTTTTGTCCTTTCTATTTTTCTTAACATCACTGTGGGCCAATATCCTGTGCATAACAGTGTATACACACAAAAAGTGCATTAATTTGCAGAACAAGAAATAAAATATTACCAGTACTAAAATTATAGGAGAGCAGGCTGACTGATCAGATAGAGACTGGTGGGATTTCTGAAACAGTGACCCTTAACTTTAGTTCTAGAACTCAACTCACCTCCACAGTAGAATAACCAACCATTTAGGTAAAATGGAATTTACCCAAGGACAATGTTGTGAGGGTTAGGCAAGGAGAAATGGAAACAAGAAACAGGGAGGATGTGGGGTAAGTTGAGGGTACCTTGAGAGAATATCAATAGATGAGTTGAATCAGAATGTGTGTGAATTGTTGAGTGTAAAACTAATCTGCTTTGTAAAGTTTCACTGAATTTACCATAAAAAGTTTAAATATAAAGTACAGGGAGCTAGGATAAACGATACATATATTTCTATTTCCCTGAAATACTCTGAAATACTTCATACTTTCTTCTAACCACTAGCTTTGTCCTTCCTCCCTTGGAGAGTAGTCACTCGTCTGGATTAGTTTTGCTTGCTTCTTACTATTACATAAGTGATATATGTAATACAGTATGCGCTCTTTTCTCATTTATTTGATCTGTTTTATGTTTGTAAATGAACCCATATTGTTGTAAATTATTGTATCTTCATGTATTTACCTGCTATGTGGTATTCTGTTTTGTGAATATACTATACTTTACTTACCCTACTGCTTTTGGGTAGTTTCTTACTGACTGTTAAGAGTAGAACTACTATGAATTCTAGTAACTTTAAATTTGCTTTGTATTCAGTATGCTCCAAGAAATGATCGTTGTTAATATTTTTGGTGCTTACATGGTTTTAAATGTGACCAGGCCATCATGTCTTTTGGCATGACCCCAATAGTCTACCCTGTATTCCATCATAAAAAGATGTCTTTGGCACATTTTGTTTTTTTCTTGACCTAGACCGGAAATTAACCATTTTTCATATATCACTGGTTCTTTCTTTATCCCCTATCCAAGCCAAGATTTATTTTTTATTTTTAAACAGTTTTATTGGCATATCAGCTACATAACATATAATTCAATATTTCAGACATATCAAGAGTTGTATAATCATTACAATCAATTTTAGAATAATTTCATATTTCTTTTTTAAAAATCATTTTATTGGGGGCTCGTACAACTCATCACAATCTATACATCCATCCATTGTGTCAAGCACATCTGTACATTGGTTGCCATCATCAGTCTCAAGATACATTTTCGTATTTCTTACACTCACTGTTATTAGCTCCCCATTTCTGTCCATCTTTCCCCGCCATGCCCCCAAGAAACCATTAATCTAGTTACTGTCTCTATAGATTTACCTATAACAGATTTCAAATACAGAAAAACATACAACCACGCACACACACTAACAATAATAATGAAATCGAGGAAAAAATCTTAATCGAAAAGAAACTAGAAAATATTAATAACTAGAACAATTTTAAAATAGGTCAAAAAGGAGATCAGATGTTAAAGTGATAAATTTTCACCCTACTACATCTGCCATAATCCGCTGTACAAAGCTGTCATTACAGGGCTATTCACAGCCATGGTCTGTGGTCAGAGGGGATTCACCGGAGGCTTAATCCACATGTAGTTCCCCTTCACTTTTTCCTTGTCTTAAACGGAAACAACTTTTAATTGGGTCAAAAGGGAGAGCAGATAAGATAATACATTTTAACTGTGTCTACCATAACCATCTTTACCATGTTCTCTGCTAACAAGGCTGTTCACATTCCTGACTGTGGTCAAAGGGGACTCACTGGAGGATTAATCTATCTGGGTATCTTTGGCCTTCCACTTTTGTCCATAGCCTTCTGCAAACTGGGTGTTAGCAGTTTAAGCTCTGGTGTCATTACCATTTCTGGATTTGAATTCTATTATTTACAATCCTTGGATGACACAGGCTGGTGTACCTCTGAATGTGGACTTAGTTGATGCCTCCCTTAGATGACTGCTTATTTGAAGACAAGCCTTTAAGACCCCAGACACTACTTTCTGTTAACTGGGCACCATTGAGTTTCTTCACAATACTTTGCTATAACACCCATATCTTAGTATCACTGGTTCTTTTTAATGGAGAATACTATTTAGAAACTATGATCTGGATATTTGGTAAATTCATTCCTATTGTGTTCCAATGCTTTTAGGCTCTTTCAGTATACATAATGAGAATATATTTTATGTAATATATATTATTTCAATTAGTCTGTGTTTTGATATCATCAATTGTCATGTAATTTGTCCCCACTTAGAATTCTTTGAATTAAACTGAATTTATTTCCCATCTGAAAAATAGTTATTTTTTAATTTATTTTTTTAGTTGTTTATCTTTTATAACTTTTTATGATTACCAAAGCAATGTGTACCCATTGTAGATATGTGTATTTATTGTAGAAAATAGAGATAAGCAAGAATAAAATACAAATCACCTATAATTCAATCATTACATATGAATATATATTTCAATTTATAGGCAAAAATGAGGTCTTAAAATAATCATTTTCAAAAAAAATAAATAAATAATCATTTTCATTTAAGAAATCGATTTTGAGAGTATCTGATGCTCACTTGTTTCTCTTAGGACAGCAGCGTTCTCGAATGCTTGCTACTCTTTTTAAAGATGAAAGATGCCAGCAACTTGCTGCCTATGGGATCCTAGAGAAAATGTACCTAGATAGAATCATCAGAGGAAATCAACTTCAAGAATTTGCTGCCATGTTGATGCCTCACCAAAAAGCAACTACAGCTGATGGTAATGATCATGTGTTAAAATTCACTCACGCACTCACTGTCATTGACTTGATTCTAACTCATAGCAACCCTCTAGAACAAACAGGGTAGAACTGCCCCTCTGGGCTTCCAAGGTAATAATTGTTTATGGGATTAAAAAGCCTTCTCTTTCTCTTGAAGATTGGCTCGTGCTTTCGAACTGTTGATATTGTGGTTAGCAGTCAAAACACAACCCACTAGGCCACAGGGCTCCTTGTGTTATAATTAGGTATATTTTGGCTATACTTTTTCCCAGACAAATTTTTTTTTTTCTCTTGGTAGTCTTTGGTACTTTCAATTTTCTTTACATCTTGTGGTGCAGTGAGTTAGGAATTAGGCTGATAACTACAATGTTTCATTTTATTTCAAAATAGATTTTGAAATGATCTTTTGATACTCAGTGTGATGTTATCCTTTTGAATTTGTGATTCCCAGCATAGTAAACCATATGTGCTTGTCTCAGAATGGTCTATAGCAGTACATTTCAGCTCACTAGGGCCTTAGAGATCCATCTTTATATGTTCCATTTCATTTTTGGTGACTTCTAATTTTCCTAGATTTATACTTTGTACACTGTATGTTGCAGTTATTAACAGGTATTTGTAACTGTCTCTTCTTACTTTGAATCATGTCCAAAAGCAAAGGAAGGCCCAGAGAGCTTTATTTCATCAGGTCAGTAAGACTGACTCTACTTTGAGCAGGCTGCTCTTGCCCAGTTGTATTTTGAGTGCCTTCAACCTGACGGGTTCATTTTCTGGCATCATATCGGATAATGTTCTACTGCTATTCATGAGGGTTTCCTCAGAAGTGGGCAGCAATAATTTCCCCACATATCACACAGATACTTTTTAGATCTAAAATTAACCAAAAAAAATTAGCATTTCTTTCATGTTGCATCATCTAAGAATATAAATAGCACTTCTACCTAGGTATATATTGTGATACTATTTATTTAGATAGGGGGTGAGCAGATAAAGGAATATAATTCACTTTATGCAAGGAATAGATGACATGTCGGAGACTGCTAAGGGTGGGAGGGCATGGAAATAAAGAAAGCAATGGACTAGATAGATGCTAACTTAGGTGAAGTGGACGGTAGTTGTCCACAAGAGTAAGAAGACAAATCAAGAAGCAGATGAAGGTAAATTGGCAAAGTATCGGGACATTTGTTTGATTACTAATTTAAACTGTTGAATACAAAATAGATTATCTGAAATATAACCCCCTACCTAATTTACAGTTCAAAAATATTTTTAAGAAATGCCTTTTATGAACCTTCTGATTTTATATTTTTATGGAGATGTATTTGGATATATGAATCTGAGATGAAGAGAAATTTGGATGGAGGTCAGCATCTGATAGGCTATCACATACTGATGGGAGGAGGAAAGAAGAGATACCGATACACAATTGAGTCCTTTAATACTTCAGTTCAGGAAAGTAGGAGGAACTGGCAAAGGGCCCTGAGAATGGCTAGTGATATAGATGTAGGAGCTAAGAGAAAAACCAGAGGAATATTAAAAATGAGATGGGTTGTTAAAAGATCGAGGGGTTCTGAGTTTTGTTAAATGCACTAGCAGGCTGTTGGTAAATCTTATCCTCAGTACCTATTAGTTTCTGACTTTTGTGTGTTCAGTAGAAATATCATAAAAATTGGGTGAGTCCATCAGTCTAATGCTTCAGGGTTAGACTTAAGTCCCTAACATTCAGAAGGAGGACTCCACGCTGATTCCTCAGGAAGGTTAATTGATTCTGTCTTCAGAACATTTATCCCAGGCACCTCAGTGCTGGTGGGGTACCCGATAGAATCAAGTTCAGGAACTTTATTAAACTTACAGAAGAGATTACGTGACGATTACCTGGATGTTGTTACTGTTTGCTGATGAAAGTTTGTGCTTGTAGCAGTAAAAGAAAAGGTAATTAACCTAATAATGTGCCTGAGGGATTTAGCTACTTGTAGATACTTGAGAAATCACTTTGTCCAAATTGTTATTTTTATTTAGCTATGTTTTATTCATACTGTCAAATTCCTTGTGGCTACTTGAAAAATTTTGATAGGTAGATGAGACAGTTACGTGTTATTACAGGCCTGGGGCGGGGTTGTGGCAGCCTGCTTCCACAGATATCATAGGCATGGAAACGTGTAGTTGTACCTGTCTGACAGTCTCTGTGAGTTGGAATGGCAACTTGTTTGGTAAAGAGGCCTAAGAATTTTCAGGAAAGGAAAGATGCATCTTTTTTTTATTTATAAAACTAGTTTCAAGCCTCTAACTTCCTTGTTTATATTTATTTAAGGTTCTAGCATCTTGGACAGAGCTGTTATTGAACACAATTTGTTGTCTGCAAGCAAATTATATAATAATATTACCTTTGAAGAACTTGGAGCTCTTTTAGAGATTCCTGCAGCTAAGGTAATTTCTTTTTCTAATGCATAAAAATGAAGTTAAGAGACTAAACTATTGAAATATTGAGGAAATAAAATATATGATGGGTAACTGTTGGAAACTGCAACAAAAAGTATACAAGAGGGTACCCTGCAAAAAACTGGAAACAAAGCTCTGTAGTAGGCATTTCTCCCGCTAGGCAGTCATCAGGCAAATCACTCTGAGTTAGTGTACCTGGTGGCCTAGCCTAGGAAGGTTCTCTGTGGTCACAGTGAACTTTTTCATAAAAGCAGTTTCGCTGGAACCTCATTTTTGTGATAGCTGATTTACATGATACGGCTGTGAAATTTTGTTGCCCGCTGGGAAAAAATGCCGCAGAAACTGTTGTAATGTTGAACACAGCTTATGAGGACAGCACTATGGGAAAAACTCAAGTGTACGAGTGGTTTTCTCATTTCAAAAAGATGAAATGTCGACTGATGACAAACTCGTTCTAGATGTCTGTCAACAAAATTTGTGCACTTGTGCTCAAAGACTGATGACGACCATTTGAAGAGGCGGGGAAGTTATCTGGACTATCTTGGAGCTCATTGCGGTGAATTTTAACAGAAGATTTGGGAATGAGGTCATCGTGAAATTTGTGTCTCGGTTTCTGACTGACCAGGATAAGAGCATCGAGTAGAAACTTGCTGTGCTTTGAAAGAACAGCTCCTAAGTGACCCAGACATTTTCCCCAAGGTCATTACTGGTGAGAGACATGGTGCTATTTTTATGACCTCGAAAGCAAACATCAATCAAGCCAGTGGAAGACGCCATCATCACCTCACCCCCCAAAAAGCTGACCAAGTGAAATCAAAGATCAACACAATGCTGGGTTTTTGGGTTTTTTTTGGATATGAGGGGCTAGTACATTTGGAGTTTGTTCCACCAGGACAAACTGTTAATCAATTTAAGTGTTAAAATGGTATTATCATGGGTTGTATCTTAGCTTTTTGGATTTTTAAATTATGTTTTATAGTTTTATGACCTGAATGGAGACCTTAAGAGTTTCCCAGATTCAGACACATATTTTGTGAGGATCTCTTTTTGTGAATGAACCTTTATGGTATTGGATAAGTCTAGTAGTCTCATACTTCAGGGTTGGACTTAAAGCCCATAGCATGTTCAGAGGGAGGATTCCGTACTGATCTCTCAGAAAGGCTAAGTTCTGAGTAACTCAAGATTTTGATAAACTCTGTGTTTTTACTTTTTGTACCCTAGATTGACTCAAATTTAAATATTCCATATCTTTTGAGAGCATGGTAATATTCCAGGCAGTTGTTAGATCTATGCTTGATTTAACATAATATAATGACTTGATTTAACATAATATAATGACTGACTTATATGAGAATTTAATTTCATTATTAGAAATTAATGCCTATCTAGAAATTAAACAAAATAGTAATATTTACAAGATATTTAAGGTGTTTACAAGATACTTCATTTTGAATACACTTTTAACTATAAATGCTTGCCAGTCTTTTCAGGAGTGATTTAGGATCGATTGTGAAGATGGTCAGAATTAATAAAATTACCAAGTCACAACCCAGTTTGCTTATGCATAACATGAAAGATGTCTTTAGGGGATAGGTAGAGGATTTATTGTCTCTGATAATTTTGATCCTTTTAAAAATTTGAACATCTATACCTCTTAAATTTTTTTCTTCAATAATACTACTTTCCTTCAAGAGGAATTTGAATGGTGAACACTAAGAAAATTAAAATACAGTAAAATAAGAGAAAAACAAGTTGGTTTTTTGAAGATGAATGCTTGGATACCCGTGAGGAAGATTTTGAACTAAGGAGAAAGTAAGTGAAAGACCTAGATTTTTGTTCAACCAAAGTTGCACAAGTAAAATCATCACAAATTAAACTGATGACCTGTACCCAGAAAGAATTATGGAGTTACAATGGGCAGATTCACAAGATTGACTTGGCAGAAGCAGCAGTATGTAAAAGCTCAGTGATGGTGAGCTTAGCCCAGCCAAGAGCTCACATTTTCCTTTCTTATGTGAGTAACTGTTAGATGCGGTCATTAAGTACTTATGGTCCTGAGCACTTGCTGTTTTCTTCTTTTTTAAAGGCAGAAAAAATAGCTTCTCAAATGATAACAGAAGGACGTATGAATGGATTTATTGATCAGATTGATGGAAT